GTGGATACAATGTTTAAGGCAATATGATCAGATACATTATTAAAGCTGTTTCCGCTTCTTTTTTGTAATTTTTGCACCCTCAAAAATGGTCCAATTTCATGTTGTATGGGATGCAATAGATTAAGTGTTGTCCCTTAGTCTCTTCGATCTTGTGACGGAAAATCTACTCACTACCCTCGCAGATGAAGAAGATAATTGTGACAGTCGTAGCAGTGAAGATGAAGACTCAGTCTGTGACCTGTCAGATGATGACTCCATTCCCCCTCTTACATATGACAGCAGTGACGATTGTAGTGATGATGATGATGATAATTTGAATGAGGATAAATTGTTTCCTGGAGACTCGGTCATGTCTAGCCTCCCATCCTTGGCCTCTCCAACCAGTTCAGATACAGAATCAGATGATAACTTGGATAGCGACGGTCAGCTTGCTGAGGGATGGGATGCAGAAGATTTGCGCTGTTATGGTATGTGCTGTTTTATTGCTTAGAAACCAATGTTAACCCTGATGTTAGATGTTTTCACTCATTGCTGAATGCCCTAGTTTTAATATGAATCACATTGGAATCTTGTCATTCGACCACCATCAGAGCACCAAAACCTGCTGTATTAATGGAGGTGAGAAATTTTATGTACCTCGTCCGTTTCCTGGTTTTGAAACAAATCAATGCAGTAACATTTGTCTGAAGTTTCAGGTGACGTTCCTTTACAACTGCAAGTTTTTTCTCAACAGATCCGGATTGCCTGGTTTGTAATGATGATGATGATGATGATGATGTAGATGATGACGATGATGATTTAGATTTGGAGAGGTAAGGAATTAATGTTCTCAATTTGCATGACGCGATCTTGAATCTTTTGGGTTATTAGCATGCAAGGTAAAGTACCTGCTGCTGATATTGGTAAAATATAGCTTCCACAACCTCTCCTCTGGAGCTTTAGAGCCGTATTGTTATTTGATCTCTGAAGTGTCAGTCTTACGAGCCACGTGGCCAAGATGGGTGGATATAGCTTACCACTCCTCCCCCAACCATTCCTGTATTTTATTTATACGCCCAGGTGTAGAGAGGCATTTTGGGAATTGTGTATTTCATGTACCTAAGACTGCAACACCAGGACAATGCTACTAGTCAGGCTCGAATTCTCAACTTTTGACTCTCAGTCAGTGAAATGGTTGGCTAGAATTTCTTATTGACAACCTCTAATTAAGTTTAATTTGGGCCAAATGGCAGAGCTCATCCTGAATACTGTGGTAGCTTGAAGTGAGTCCGGCTACTGCTACTCCCCATTCGAGTGCATGTCAGGTTCTGTCATGTTAGTTCCTTGCATTTCGCCAGGTTTGGCTTATAGATAACTGGGACCTACTGATACGCCTGGGTGGACAGATACACTGTCTGTATAGTGTCTTGTCCAAGAACAGAACACAGTGACCCTAGCCAGGGTTCAAAACTTGGGTTGTGTCTAAATTCTAACACGCTAACCACAAGGCATCTGAATGTCTCACTACGCTACTGTTAGTAGTGTCTTTTAAATTTGAAGCCTCTAAGTTTATTAGTTCTTTGTTTGTTACGGCAGTGATGATGATGGTGATGACGATTTTGATGATGAGGATGATGAGCACGACAGTGATAGTGACGAAGATGATCATGATGAGGATCTGCTGAGAACTTTATTATTACCTCATCTTTTGAATGGCGAGGTGCGATTTCGTTCTCAACAGTGAACAATATTATTATCATTTCTCACAAGCTGTTTATGAGAAAATTGAAGAGCCTGTATTGATCTTGTCCGAAAACAAAGTATTCTATAAAAACAGGCCACTTGCATAATGCAAAGATTAACTTCGTGGCTCAGTAAATGAAAACCCACAGCATGGTGTGGCGAAGAGACGACCCTTTTGACCTAATCAATTAGCTTGTTATTTTCTTCTTGTTCTTGGAGCCAAGCAAGAGTTTAACTAGATCTCACGATAGTTTCTTGTATTTATTAACTTTTGTATTTTTATTTTGATAGATAGGCTTTTATCTTGTGAATAATTAAAATGTTAAAAAATTTAATTTGTTCATAGTCCTGATAATTGTAACTCTTTTTAGGTGTCCCCAATTAGCAGCAATGCTAAATCCCATTGACACGTACATAAAGTTATTATTATTATTATTATTATTATTATAGATATTATTATTGTTATTATTATTATTATTATTATTATTATTATTATTATTATTATAGTTATTATAGTAGTGGCTACAGTATATTTGATATTAATAATGTTTGTTTGTCTTTGTAGGTCAATTCTTTCACGGGTTTTGTGCTAGGCGTTCTAGATGGGGTAAGTAGCTTAAGGTTTGCCATGTGTTATTCCTGACCAAACGTGTATACAGTAAGACACCCCATGTCTTTGAAAGTTACCATGTACTGTGAAAAACACTCGTTATCATTTGCACTGTTGCACGCACTATATTTCCATATAAGAGGCAGTTGTCTATATCGTCTGTTACGAAGTGACGTTGTGTGCTGTTAGAAAGAGGTGCTTGGAATGAACTTCTTCGTTCAGATCTTTCAGCAACTTATTTTCTTAAACAAACAGTGAAATTTTCCGCTACTTTCGGGACGCTGCTATTGTTGGAGGGATGGGGGTGGAGGTGGGGGTGGGGTTTCAGGTGGTTGTTACTTAAGAATCTGAACGTTTTATCACCAACTTCTCCCTGATGGCACCTCGGGCTGTCTACGGGAATGTGTTGGCCACTACAGAGGTGCAGTATGAAATTGTCGCCGTTGTGTAAGGGAGAGGTGAGGACTTTGTAAGAAGTGTGAAAGATTGTGGAGGCTGACCAATTTGCAGGAGTGTAATTGGGGATTTTAGAGAGGCTAGGGAAAGAAATACAATCGAGAGGAATTTACCGGATATGATTCCCATACCCGTGGGGAAAATCATAAATTACTCGAATATTTTGACAATCTACTGGCCGGATCGGGAGTCGACTCCAGGGGGATGGGTGCGTACGTGCCCACGAACTCAACTCATGGGTTTCCCTTTTTTTCCTATATGAGTTTGGAGCTCCGCTTGGCGGCCCTTCCCGGAGCTCGGCTATGAAACTGTACCAAACGGTTAGACTGAAAAAGGAACATCCGCATCAATAATTTTTGCCCTGATGTATTTTTATTTCTAGTTTTTTACGGCTCATCCCGAGATGATGAATGAGGGTTCCCCTCCAGCACCGCCTGAAGTGATCGAGTCTCTTCCCAAAGTGATACTCACTAAGGAACGAGTGGGTAAGTCTTGACTTTGTCTGCCGAGATGATCGAGCAGTTCTTTTCTCTCTCTTTTCACCTCTCTTCATTGATAATTTGCTCCAAACCTGAAGAGTTGTGGATACAGTTCTTATTTTCTCTTGATTAAATGATCCTGTGATCCAGCTCGATGGATCTGTATGTTTACGTAAGCTTTACAGCAAGAATAGTTTTGTGGTCATTTCTCAGTTAGTGAAACTCGCAACCTTTTTCTGTTTGCGTCCTTTTCAGGTAAGGATGTAAAAGCATGCTTTTATTTGGCGTTTTCACTGATATTTTTTGGTTAATTTTCCTTCAGCTCTCAACTTATCCTGTGCCATCTGTCAGTGTGATTATGAACAGGGTGAAGCAGTTCTGGAGTTGCCCTGCTCACATCTCTTCCACCCCACGTGCATCACAACGTGGCTGAAAATGGTAACTGCAATACTATTGCCTAATTAACAGACAATAATTGTGAGAAGACTTGTTACCGGCAAGTTTAATTGTAACATTTCCTGAAATTCGTAAAAATGACTGGCCACTAGCCACTGCACCAGTGTTATTTGTCTTGAAAGAAAGCTACAATCGATTTTGTGCATTCTCGTTTAAACAAGTGAGGCAAAAATACAGCCCTGGTCGCAGGTGATCCTGACAGATCATTTCAATGTAGTGTGAAGTTCGTTGGCACTGTGCGAGGTTTATACCAATTAATGACTAAACGTCATGCGAAAAAAGTCGTGTTCATCAGGGACACTCAAGCGGCGAGTCTGAACTTTGTCACGAATAAAACTTCATTACACTTTTTGGACTTTTTTGGCAATACTTAAAGTGTTGTCTCGCTTTATGACAAGACGTCTGATTTTCGAAACGAAACAGCTCTTGAGAGCCAAAAATCACTCGTATAGCCGCAGCATTTCGCGCAGAAAACTCCTGATCAAGCTCTCTTGTCGTGGAAAATGGAGCGCAGAAACAGTTGATGGACAAGAGAGTGTAAAATTTCTGATCGCTCAAAATTCAATTTTTGTAACGGGGAGAGTTGTATTTAATGTTAAAGATGTTTTCTTTTCTTTGTAGCACGCCACTTGTCCAACTTGTCGAGATGTTCTTCCTCACTGAGGACAAGTAGCATCGTGCTGTACTTGACTTTACAACGCCGCATTGGCTAGTTCTACAAGTGTCAAAAACAACTCTCTGCTACATGTACCTCGACAGGCAGACAAAAACAGTTATTTTGTCACCAATTTGGAGTTTATAGCGTGGAACCAAGTTGAGCGAGTTACTGGAAAGACAGAATATAACCGTCTTCAATACGTATCACATGTCCACACATGGTTTATAAACTGTGGATAGTAAAACTGAAGTGCACTATTTTGACAACTTTGGTTCCTGTTGTATATGACCCGAAATTTTATATATATATATTTAAAAAAAAATTTAGAATTTATGTTAAATAAATCCATTCGTTTTGTTTTAAAAGGCGCTAAATGCGTAAAGAAGATATATTAGAAAATAAAATGTTGAATTTTACAACTCACTAAATAGTATTGCAACCCCTTTTTTATGTTTTTTTTTTTGGGCCATCTCAGAACTGTCCGGCTGAGGATACGTTTTGTTCAAAGTGGTGATCCAGTGCAACTCAATGAGTACTTTATTCCCTTTGAAGTCAAAGTACATTCACGAATACATTTTTAAAGCAAGGAGACTAACATTCAAAGCAAGAAAAAAACTGCTGTTTTAATCCGAAATGGCAGTCAATGCCATCATTAAGTTAGTAAGGAATATATAAGCGACACTGTTCTTCATAGTTTAGCGTTGAAGACTGGTGCCACTTCAGTTACCCACTCTTTCAAAGTGGTGGGCTCCTCTCCTGTAATCTTGGTAAAGTGGGACATGTCTGGGTCATTAATCAGTGGGCACTCTTCATCAGTGAGCCTGTATATCTCTAAGATACCATCTGCATCTTCCTCGCTGAAACCAACCACGTTGATGAAACGACTCCGGGAATCTTCGTATGACATTCGCTCATACTTAATCTTCTTACCTAATATCTCGCTGAAGGCGGCTGCTAGTTCGTCCAGTGTATGGCAATTGCTTATCAACTTGTAGGTTTTTCCATAATGCTTCTTGGGGTCGGCCATAATAGCGGCTGCAGCTTTCCCAGCATCTGCTACGACGACAGCTGAGAAAGGCTTGGTAGGGTCACTTGGAGTACCGAAAGATGACTTCTCCTGAATGGGTCGTTTGAAACCCCAGTAGTTGTCGACGAACGGAGGAAGGCGGATGATGGTGTATGGCATCCCTAGGTTCTGTATCCTTGACTCCAACTCACTGTACTGTTTTCCATAGATAGTATCAGTTAGGCTAACCGTGAGGACACTGACTGTGAGAATGTGCTTGACGCCCGAGGATTTGGCCACTTCTGCAGCACCAATGGCAAGTTTGAACCCACTGGTTGGTGTCACAATAAACAGTGATGTCACGCCACGCAGCTGTTCACGCAATGCCTCTTTGTCATTCATATCAGCCCTTATAACTGTCACCCCTGGCAGGGTTTTCAGCGTTGCCACTTTCTCTGATGCTGGGTTTCTGGTTCCAGCGAGGATATTTACCTTGTCCGAGTAGTTATCTGACAAAGCTTTCACTGTAGCCGGGCCGATAAATCCACTGCAGCCGATCACAAACACTGTTGGCTTTGGCATTGCTGCAGGCAAAATTTACAATTGTCAAAAAATTGAGAGAAACAAAGAATTTCTTGACTCTCGACGGGAAGCAGGAGGTGTACGAGGGTGGGGTGGAGACCTGTAGACGTGGGAAATTTGAGAAGAACACTCGGATAGACAAAGTATAGATGCCGCTGGAATAAATTGCGCCACAATACAAATAATAAGAAACATTGTCCATACATGCAAGGGAAAAGAAAAGATAAAGGAATAAATGAAGTTGGATGAACAATGTGTGCTAGACCGCAAAGTCCCTGAAGCGTTACGATATCTATGACAAATGACGTTTAAACACGACATGTGGGATTTGAAGGTTAATCAATACAATAGCCTTCATTTGGCGCGAAAATATACTCTGATATTTGTCCTTGGACAGTATCCGTTCCTCAAAGTTCACAGTTTTCCTCGAGCTACGCTCGCGGAATACTGTTCGCTTCTCGGAACAGATAATGTCCGCGGACAAATATCCGTGCTTATTTTCGTGCCAAATGGAGGCTAGTGTTTATATAGAACAATGAAACATTGTTTGGGCAAGTTTGGGCAAAGAACCCTATGGAAGCATGCAAGGTGAAATATGGAGTTGTTCGGAAATCGCAACAGAGGTTTGTCAGCAGCTCGAACAACAGACTCACTTTGCCTATCCCTTGTGTTCTGCCGTCTACCTACGTGACGCGAGACAAGCACAACCCCGTCGATCCCACCCTGAACCTTCCTTGGTCAGAGAGTATCGCGTGACGAAGACTACTCAGCTCAGATCAGCTCAGCTCAAACAAAGACTAGCAAATGATTCTTTCTTAAGACACCTAATGGCTCGTAATCTAAAATCACCCTCCTCTATTTTATTTTCGAAGGCGATGAAACATGGTTTTTGTCCAACTTACCTTAACTCACAGCTACCTGCAGCTTAAACTCTCTTGTTTGAACGCACTTTCAACTTCGTTGTCTCACCAGTAGTTTCAATGCTAGTGCCAGCTCCCGCTCTTCGTGGTTTTGAACGCCTGACAATTTTTGTCATTTCAAAGATGACCGATTGCAACTTTCCTGGTGCTCTCTGATTGCAAGCGTTTCTATAGCCACTTAATGGCATCTTCGGAACGCCTGCAGAATGAAATTCTGCTTAAAGAAGAGGCGTTCCTCAAAGAGCAGAGGGCGAAATTAACTGAACAGCTGAACAAGTTGAAGGTGAGAATGTTTGCTCTCTCGTGATGTTCAGTACATGTATTTTCAAGGATGGAAAACTGCAATGTTGTAGTTTTCTTTGGGCGCTATGATGAAAACCGCCAGAATATGTATGAATGATATGAGCCGATCTCTGCAACAAAACACACCATATTGAATGGAAGAAGTTTAACTGAAACCATAAAACAAAACAAAAAAAAAACACCCGACATGTTGAAAATCCTGATTGTAGAGAAGCTGAACAGTTAGCTCTCTACAAAATTAGGCTGTGAGCTTGAGCTTTGGAGCTTAAGTTGATATATCTCAAAGAGTTAAAAACTGTTAGCCCCACTGCATGCCACCTACAGGGCTCTGCTCCCCCTAAAAAATGTGAAAAATTGAAGCATCTTAGAAATGTTTTCTTCCATTCTCAGCAAAGCATGCAAAGTAGATTTAGATTTTTTAGATGTGTATGTACTTCAAAACAATTGTTAGTGTGAGTCTTAAGCTAGCTGTGTGTGTGAGACTTGAAAACTATGTTCAAATCCAGCTACACTATAGCCCGAGGTGGGGGGGGGAGGGTACTCCCCCATAACACCTGTACAGGTATGCGCAGCCCAATGGGGTTGTGGTTTTGGGACCCCTGATCTCATACGGGGTATCCATTTTCGAGACGTTTCCTAGAATGGGGTATAATATTTCAAACGTACGAAAGCCATCAAATTATCAGCAGTCATTTGAAATTATTCATAGGGAATTTGCATAAAAAAAAAACATTTATTAATGAACAAATCCAACTGTTGCACCCTGTGTTGCACGCGGTACGCTATTGTAAGGTAGTTATTGTGCGGTTATTGTATGATATAATGCATTTGATAATGCGTGCATGGTTCTGTGTAATAAGGTTGCTGATTTGTGTAGAAGCAGCATTGTCGTATCTGGATGTCTAGGTCAACCAAATAGGGAAAATAAATTTTCAAAACAATGAGCTATTGAAATTTACTAAATTTGTAGAATGGGGTATAAAAATTGACCTATTTCTAGAGCAGGGTATCATTTTGACGGCAAATTCTTTTTAAAAAGGGGTCCAAATTTGGAAAGCCGGGTGGCACATACCCATCCAAATCATACCCAAGTACCCCCAGGCACTGTAGTAAGCCATCCCCATTTGATTATTTTTTCCAGTCACCCTTTCTTTTGTTAACTTTGGGGATTGGTCAAAGTCGGTTAAGAGTGAAGCTGAGGAAAGAAATTATCTTAAAAATATATTTTAGTAAATCAGAGTAAATACATACATCAACAGGCCTTAAAGTAATCATTCATTTTGCCCTCTCTCTGACTGCCATTTTGCAGTGAGCTTTTATCAGTCTTACATGTGTCTAAAAAATGTGTCCCTTGTGAAAAACATTCCAAGACCCTCAGGAATCATTAAATACAAGATTTTAAATGATTTTCAAGATATGCAAAGGGTACTAAAAGATAAGGTCCTTTTAAGGTTGTTTGAAGGATTTTGATTTTTTTAGTCTTGTAGTCTGTGAGTTAACAAGAAATGTCAAACATTGCATTACAAACTGCATGTGAAACAAACACCGGTCAGCATTGCTTGTGATTGGCTCATTTCTTTTGCTCTCAGATGGGCTGTCTCGCTGTTTCTGATCCTGTATACCGGTACTCGATTCAACATCGCTTTTCTGTAAAACATTGTTTATATCTATTCTTTGCCTATACATAAGCTGAAGCAGACAAAGAACAATTTCAGTATTTGAAAACGGTGAAATTGAAGATTTGTCCAGGAAGAAAAAGCTAGCACATTGTTTTGTGTCAAGTAATCCATGCTGCGGTTTAGCAGTTATCTTTTGCAGTTTCATCTCGCATCTGATTGGTCACGAAACAATAAACATTCCAGAAATTTTCTCTATTGTTCATGGTTTTACGGGAAAGACTGTAAATATACAGATGCTGAAAATGTGACTAACGTCATATGATTTTTCCACTGGCTAACATGTCTTAGGTGGAAGAAATGGGACTCATGAAATTGTTGAAACAAGACAACATGAATTCCCATCAGACAACCATGGAGCTGTTTACTAAAAATCCCCAAGTGGTAGGAGTATTATGATTATGTAATTTTTAACATCTCAAAGGTAAAAGTAAGTTGAAGTCTCTCTTCAGTCTCATTTGTAAGTGGCTCACATGATCCAGTTGTTGGTCATGTGCAACTCTGCTTTTGTTTAGCTTAACTCAGAAGTACCGTATTGCTACTCCTTTCTGGACGTCCATTGCAGAGCTATTCCTCGTATATAATATGCTGGTACTAATTTTCATGCTTCTGGGAGGAGAGAGGTACTGTGAGAGTAACTGTCTTGGACCCGACTGTAAAGTTTAAATATAATTTTACAAATGTTCAATGGCTATGGCCAGTGCTGAAATCTAGCTCCTGGTGCACTAAGCATTATAGGCACTGTATCTCCCACTGATGACTTTTTGAGGAGACTGTTGACTTACATGAAGCCTGACATTACTGAGCATAATTTTCCAGAAAATATCATTCCATAACCACCCCATGGAAGGTCACTTCAAATTCTGAACTGGTGTGGGATCTCAGTTAAAAAAAGATGCAAAATGTTTTAGAGGCATATAAGTTAAACTTTATTTTCAGAATGTTCTAGAGGAGTGTGTTTAGGACAAACCATGAAAGTCTTCTGTTAGGGAAAATGGATATCTTGTGACACAGTACATTGCTGCTATTTGTTAAATTGTTGAGTTGTTAAATTGTTGTCATTTCCATATTATTTTGTTTGCTTGTTCAAGAAGCATATAATTTAAAAACAGAAGATCAATTTGAGCTATTTGTTTTTCAAATGTTTTTGTCAGCCTTCATCCTCCAGCCAAAGAATTGATAGTTTTGAGTTAACTAAAACAGAAACAGAAGTGAATCATATTCCACTGCAAGGACTCAACACCACAGAGATGTGAGTTAGTAGCATTTAAGTATTTTAATTCATACTGATATATGTAACTTCAGAATGATAATAATTTTAAATAAGCTAGTTTTATAAAATGGCATTTACACTTAAATATATATTTATTATAACAAATAACAGGACAAACAACAAACTGAACTCCCACTCAGAATTCCACACTGTTTCCGCAGTAAAGTGATTTCCTTTAATTTAAATGCCATGTATACATGTACTAAATCCTGGTCCTAGTGGGTTCTGTATCATTGACCAGTCTTGTTCAACTATGTCTCAAATCCATAAACATACAAAAACCTTGACCAATGTCCAGCCATCCTGGCCTTTGTGTTACATTACTTGGCATGTTCAAACACTTAAAAAGACTGAACATAACTTTTCAGGAACAAAGAAGATAATCAAGGAGACGAGGAAGAGGAAGAGGAAGAGGAAGAGGAAGAGGAAGAGGAAGAGGAAGAGGAAGAGGAAGATGATGAAGATGATGATATGGAGGATGATGGCACCGGATACAGTGAGTGAAATTTATTTCAATATTATGTTTAAGTCACAGTCAGGAATTGAATGCTCAATCTCATCTCTTTTACTGATATTAAATATACTTCTGTTAATTCCTAAATAAATATTATACTGGTAAAATGTGCTTTGCAAGATGTGACTGTCTGTGATATTATTTGAGAAATCTCTTTCAAAAAAATTCATTTGAATATATAATTTGTGCTCTTGATATTTACAGGTCAACAGCTTTTGAATGCAATATCAAGTATGCACTATCAAAACAGCAGTGGAGGTCAGGAAACGTCCAGGTACAGTATTGGAGCTACAGTTAATACTGAGACACTTGCCAAAAATGTGTGAAGTGTGAAGTCATTATTCAATTTTCCAAGGCCCCCTCTGCCACATAGCAATGTTGTTATGGCTTTTGCTTATGTTTTCAACAGAAGGGCAACTGGTTTTCACAGGGGAGCAAAACATTTTGAACTGAACTTCTTTATAAGAAAAACTTTCCTCTTGATGGTCATGAACTAGGCGGGTAAGATCATCCTCACAGCTGGTCAATTTGCCCGGCACCCAGCCCTTAATGAAACCCCTGGTTGGAAATTGGTGGGTCTACTTTTTGATAGATCAACATCGACATTGTGTTGGGGGTGGAGCTCTAGAGGAATGACAAAATATCATATCCTGCCTTTCCATGCAGTCAGTCAGTTTGTCTACATAATAAAAAGAAACTTGCATGGTGGCTTGAAGATATAAATTCTATTTTATGGTAATATGTCAAAATTTTCTATCAACCATTTCCTCTGTCAGGTCTGTCCTACATAGCATACTGCAACATGAGGTTGAAGGCCTTGATGAAGATGACGACGACTATGTTCACTAACAATACTTATTATTTGTAACCCTGGAATGCAACAGCAAGGATTGAATTACACAACCATGCAAATTTTTGATCAACTGCTGCAAGAGTTATTTGATGGCTGTTCCAACTAACTTCACTCTACAATTGCTCTGTGTGTTGATCTTGTTTGATCTTTGTTCAAATCATTGCATATAATTGAAGTAAGGGTCATTCAGCTGTAATATGAAAAGAAAGAGACACGGGAGATGTTGTCCTTTGGGCAAGAATTTAAGAATTTCAATAGATGTGTAACACAATCACGTGACGCCAATGATTTGAATCAGCAATGCAAGATCAATTTACACTGCTACTGTACAATAAATTTAGCGATAATTATGGTCAAATAAGACTCCACTGGATGCTGTGGACAATGTTTGCAACATCCACATGCAAATGATAAATTATACTGTTTGTTTGATATTTTTTAACAGCCACTGACTACAAGAGATTGCATAAAATAGACCTTATTCATAAATGACGGCCAATTTAAAATTATTTTGTATGCATTTAAATAAGCCCAACTAACCTTGTTTGAGAGTAAAGATTCTTTTGAATTATCAACTCAAAAACGAGGTTAGTTGGGCTAATTTTAATACTTACAAAATAATTTTCTTTAATAGGCAGCCATTTCTCCATACTACAGTATTTTTATTGGGATCACACAATGTCAGTTGGCTAGGTTTTTGTGTTCAACTAGTAAAAACCTAGTCTGCGAGTACCGCCGCCACTGTCCCTTATCAATCCTGACTGCTTTGGGCATTTCTCTCCTTCAAACACCCAAAGATGTGGCTCCTTTCACAGGCCACGCAGAACATTATTATTGCTCAGATTTAATAAAGTGCTCTACAAAGTTTGGCCAAATTTCTTACAGCACTAACCTCTGTTGTCCCAGTAGAAAACCTTTCCAACCATCTGAACTTGACACATTAATTTATGATAGTCAGCTTGGAACAGCAGGTTCCAATCAAGTGATTCAACTTTATTTAACACTGTTCATCAAACAAACAAATATTATTGGCTTAGCACTGTACATATGTATATATTTGAATAACATTTTGTTTGTCAGTTTGGTTCCTTTTTGTATTTTCCAATAATTTTTAGAGGGCCATTTAGAATTACAAGTTGCATGAAACTGATTTGTGTCTATTTTGCTCGCTTCCTGTTTTGATGGTCTGAGCAAGTTTAAAATATATTCTGATTTAGCTGGACATGAATAAGATCATCTAAATGTATGTTATCACCTAAATTAATAGAAACAAGTTATATTCCTTGCACCTCCATGAAATATCCTATAACGAGTAATATTAATTTACTACTGTTCTAATAAAATAAATCCTATGCACTTGACCAACAGTGGTGTTCAGTATATGGCTAGATTACTCCATGTGACTTCTCTATGTAGGTCTACATGTGTGTTGCACATTCTTTAGGAAAAGACTCTTCCTAGTTAAAAGCAATTTTTGCCACACATTGATAAAACTGTAGTGAAAATATTGTTAGTTTGAAACCTATCAGTTCAAGAAAAAAAAAAGGCAAAATGTTTCCTTTAAAAGAGAAAAGTCACATCAATCAGCTGTCAATGTAGCTGGAAGAATCACTGCTGGTTGTTATGTTTAAAGCTTGAGATCAGAAACTGCTAAGCCATCACTCATGAGCCCCCAGCATCTGCAGCTGATGCTGAAACAGAAAACGGATAATACAATTTAAAACTGGAGAGTCAAAACAAAATGGTTTTCTATACAAAAAATAATCATTGTCACTTTATTTAGCGATTCTCAGTAGGCTTTACTGATAAAAACATAAACAATATTATATTCAGCATCTTTTGACAATGTGCAGGTCCAGAAAATATCCATGCTCCCCCACAGAAGGGATTGGAATTTACTGGGGGGTGGGGGGTTCTGTAAGACCAGAAAATTTAAAGAAATGTGTGAAAGCTTTATTGGAATTTCTAGANGGGGGGGGGGTCTTAGAAAAAATCCCTTCCATGGGGGAGGTATGGATATTTTCTGGAACTACACAATAATTTTACGGGAAAAAAAACATTCTTGTTACAGTATCTGTAACACATTACTATGCCATATAACTCTGCTCAAGATATCAAAGTTACTCTCACATTTGCTGATCTTACAAACCTTTTCCATCACAGGCCACTACTTTCACTTTTTCTACCTTGACAAGTTCACCAACTTCTCTGAATTCTACATTGTTTAGCACAAAGGTCCAGACATTATCACAAAATCTATATGTGTTCAAGTGACCCTGAAATGAAAGAAAAAAGATTGAACTGTTTTTAACTTTGAAACCTTGTGACAATACAATCTTTACAACTTCTAATTTTCACATTTATGACTGCAGATTGACAAGAGATCATTCCACAACAATTCAGTTCTTTTAACATACCTTAAACGAAATTTTGCTCTTGACTTTGCTGGAGAGAGCATAGTTGATAGCCTTGTCAAACTGCAGTAATACTTGCAAAGCAAGCTGTGGGCTAATCTGCTGTGACTAAAGATAACAGAAAATGATTAAGAAACATTCTTAGATGGTTTCACATAGGCTTCCTAGCACAGGTTAAGACATTTCTTATCATTACATACCATTGTAACCTACACCCACCCTTTGGCATTGACCACATTTCATATCCCTATCCCTTCAAGAGCATAACTAAAAAGCCACAAGGCTGGAAATGTGTGAATTGATCAGCGCAAATACATGTTCAAGTAGCTGTTGTTGCAACTGTGTCTGCACTTACGTCCTTTGTTTTAAAACACGGCTTATCAACATATACTTAATGTAAACCTAAATAATTCAGGAGACTCAAGTTGCTTGCTTTGCACAGGGTTTTCACAACCTTTTTTCCTAATGTTCTCAGCTGGCTTAGTAATTGTGATATAAAAGCAACCATGTTGCAGCAAGTTTGATATCATCTGCGCCAACTCTCCCAGATTAATTCTCCAGAAGTCACCTGAGTACAGACCAAATATTCCAGTTTCCCCTATGGATCACTTAATCTCCTGGATAATATGACAGAAGGGGATAAAATACATTTTTCCGGCATATTTTGGCTGATTTCTGGCATTTCTAGGGGAAACGGTTTGGATAGTTATTGTATTTGTGTGGTTGGATTGGTGGAGCTCTACCCTGAACAACTTTTTTGGGTGTCAAGAAGGTAAAATTTACCCAACAACTCACAGAGATTTCCCAAATTTCTAGTTGCATAGTTTCTTTTCAAAATACCCTACATTCTATTTTTACTGAGCACAAGGCAGCTTTTTTTTTAAGGGAGCATTCAAACTCAGATATACTAAGCTTATCCAAAATAATGTCAGTTGACACTTTTGGAAAGTTCATGATAATTTAGGAAGAAATTCAAAAATGCTACAGTGCAACATCATTCCTCTTTGTTAAACAAAACAAAGAATATTCTAAGGTTCATTCTAAACAAGCTTCTCAAGTTCACTCCATGGTGCGACACAGACATCTCAGAGCGAGTCGATCACGAATGACATATTCCAAAAAACTATTTCAAATATTAACTATTGAAACAAAACTATAACATGTCCTGACTGAATGAGAATTGCAAGTTCATTTGCCAAAGGCGCTCAAAGGACGCCATGATCAGCCGTATCTTAAGATCTTGTACGGTAGCTTATACAGGAAGTTTCTGGTCATACAAGTCCTTCAATAGCCTCGTGCTTTCAAAAAATGAAGAATCTTTCTCTCCAAGACTAAATATGGAGACACACTGGAAGACTTTGGGCAGAAAATTGATCGTACAGGTGGGAATGAATCATGGCTTTCTCAGACGAAACGTGGCTGTCGAACGAACTGCTCTCTCAGAAACAAATGTTACACAAATGATAATTTTAACTCCCCAAAGTAAGAACAAAAATTGCCATTTTACCTGTATTAACTCATCCAAACTCTCCTGTAGACTGTTTCCCAATGTCGTATTGCGGTAAAGTTGATAGCTCATCTTCTAGCGCTGCTCGGAGTTTTTATACTGTGCTCCTTCCAGCCGCTTCCTTTTTTGGCTGTCTCACTCAGCCGCCATATTGGATTTGACCATATATGGTAGGGATGTTTCATCCGTTTAAAAATAAACAGAGTGACGTAATTTTTTCGGGTTGAGATTTCGGTGATCCGCCGAAAGTTCTCGCAAAACTTTTTCAAAAGTTTTCTTCACTCTGAAGGTAAAGAGTAAACAAGTACAAAACGATAACGACGGTAGTATAAACTCTGATATAAAGGTTAACAAGGCTGCCATGAAGTATTCATCAAGGACCCATCAAGTGACGCCAGCTATCGCTTCTCATGATCGCATGACACCCTCACGCAAAGCCCCGGGTATTTGACAATTTGCATTTTCAGTCAGTCAAATTCCCATCCACGGGTCAAAAATGTGGTTCAAAATGATCAAGTCATTCTAAGTGACTGCCCCTCTTCCGGGGACCTACATCTGGGATAAAATGAGTAAGGGAAAATAAGAGAAATTTAATTTCCCCTCGAACACCAGCTTTCAACTTCCACTGTGTCGCAAGCATTATTTTTACAGATTATTAAATTTAAGAAAAGTGCTCAAATCCTGGCAAACAAAACTTAATTATCGAAGACTCTTTTTCGCCCGCAACGTATATACAAAGAAGGGCATTGACTGGCGGGGGGTGGGATGGGGTCTGAGTATTTTGTTGATCGAACTTTGCCTAACTAAAATACTTAAAAATGGTTTAAAACAGCTTAAACATCCCGTATATTACATTTCAAAAGTTAACAGTTTTCCCTCTAGACCGGGATATCTGTTCTAATCAACACATATGCCATTAATTTTCCCTCAAAGTATCCCGTTTCCTGCTAATTTTTCACCCAAATACTCCTTATCCCGAAAATCCCTTATAGGGCCTCAATCTTAATGCCTTCGAGGTTCACCATGATCTTAAGGCAACTTGTTTAAATCTCCCCTACCCTCCCCATATAATGTCAAATTCTCCATGTCAATATCATCCACTGATAGCGCAAGAGAAAATGACTGACGCCAACGTCCAGCGCATCATCTTGTTAAATGCTCAGGATAAGCCTGGGGTATGTGAGGTGTATTCCGGAGGGTTCTTGATGCCGCTATTTGATCAATACATTAGAGCAATCATTCACATCAGAACTACTCTGGACTACCCGTTATGGACACCTCTATAGGCACACCTCTCACCATTAATATGTCCGTAGTAAAGAGGCTCGACTTTTTTGTATAATCAACTGATAAGTAATGTTGACAACACTTAATCTTCCAGACAGGCTCTTTCGTGCATGTTTAATTTGGTCGGGTTTTTTTTTTGCGTTACCCGGCTCTAATCCTGTTCTTCGCCTGCAAGAGATCTGGGACATAGATTGTCCCTTCTCTTTTTGTGTTTCGAGTGGGCCGGCTTACCGCTTTGACGTAAGAAAAATGTTGTGTCAGAATTTGTTTTGTGCAACTTGGATTTCAAATTCCCTTAAAATCATCGATAAACATCATGGTACACGCTCATGAGCCAAATTGAGGTGCTTGAGTCTCAGCTATTAATCCAATGTTCGGAGAGTTCTCAGCTATCAGCAAGTTTTGCAGATCTCAATCTCAGCAGCCGGTATTAGTTATATAAAAACGTGTAATTTTTCGGCCGACATGTTCAGAAACTTTTGACCAATTCTCTGCTTACATCTACACCCTTTTTCATGGATATACACTAGCGCTTCTAAATGTGATCGCGCAACTCGTTTTCTGGCCAACAAATAAAATGAAAAATCCTCAGGAAGACTGAAGACAACGAAAAGAAGCCTTTCTTAATGAAGTAGTTTTTATTTAATGCTTGATATCCATGTTCTATTGCAGCGTTTTGTTAAAGAGGCTTTTTAGAACAAAAAAAACATTAGTCGCAACTTTCATGGAATGAGCCAATAGTTCATTTCCAAGTTCCTTAAAATGTCTGTCTTAAATGTCTGTCTTAAATGTCATTCATATGAAAATGCATCTCCCCTGTACGTTCATTTTCATGCGAATCAAACTCATTATCATATGCACGCTTGAAGACTCGTGTTGAAACGGAGACAAACGGGCATTCGAAAAAACTTCCATGATCACTGGTTACGTTCTTTTGCAGACACTGTTACAAGTCAACGAGACTGAAAACCAATTGATATACCGACTTGGCAAATCTCGTTAGCGTCCTTCAAATTTAAGTCTACACCATTACACGGTTTGATTAAAGTCAATGAAACTTAAATGATGATGTTAAAGGGCCCTTAGTTAAGCGAGCGACATTTCTAAGCTACTGAACAAGAGAGTATGAGGGGGTAAGAAAGTTAATCCCCCATATATGGGCCTTACCCTCTAAGCGATTTCCAGAAGCTGTATCCAGACCTCCCGCGGACAATGTTACCACGGGCGTTGTGTAGCCGAGCTGCTTGGGCTGTTAACGTGACTAAAATTCGCGTCACACTGGATCGGCCATTTCTAATACCCCTAGAGTCTCTGAAGCCGGGGATGATCAAAAAATACCTTGAGAGAGATTACTCTATGAATAATGTCTATATGGGGACAAGCTCTCTTACCCCTGGTCCTCTTTTGCCAGCAAACTTTGTGATGTTCTAAAAGCCTAGTCATATTAGTTACAGTGATCACATTGTCATTTCGACTTGTGTTCTTTGCCTGGGTGACTCTCCTCCTTGTCGCAACAAAGGAAGGCCAGAATAAATGCCGCAAAACCCACCTCAACGCACACCAGGAAAATGGCCAGACTTGTCTCCACTCGATCAGCAAGAGCTAAAATACAAAACGTTGGGACGCAGATCGCCATACGATAGAAGACGCAATTGGAGTCAAACCGCCTGCTAATTGCTTGACCATTGAAAATATACAACACTGCATGGGCTACTCTTAAACTGAAGTGAAAACTCAGGAAGAGTTGAGAATAGCCTACGAAGGGATCCAGGTTTAAAGGAATTCGCAGACGGTCGACATCTTTCAAGTAAAAAGCTCCAGTAAACTGAATGATGCCTGCAATAAGCACAGCTATGGAGGACCAGGGACCCGTAGGAAATCGAAAGAGGAGACTGAAAATCTCTTTGAAAAACAAGCCGAAGGTTGCCCCTTCTTCTTTGCAGACCCAAACCAAAAAGATACCAGCTGCTAAGGAATTGTCCAGCACTGCAAAAAATGTAAGAAATTGTACTGGAGCCACGCCTTCCTGAAACTTTTTTAGCAGGGACATGTTGACGAGAACCAGTCTTGTAAGCACGGTTATGTTTATGTGCCCATGGCCTGGCACATTGTGTTTTGATCTCGATGCCATGACTAGCAAGTACCCTTCAACAGCAAGAGCAAGCCCTCCAACTTGTATATAGCCAACAGTACGACCAACGAGCTCGACTTTCCACAGTATTCCCCACAGGGAGGGTGTAAGTAGCATGGATATACCCACGAGAACGTACGCCAAGGACGTCCATTGGGTGAAACGTTCAGTTTTGGTCAGCTGTTTAGAACGGTCGGCGGATATCATGGCCTTGAACCAGACAGGAACCATTATGAAACAACCTAAGAACAACCATGGACGTCAGAGCTGATGTTAGAACTTAAACTGAACATAAAACTACCTGAAGGTCTGTTCCCCTGTCGAGTCAATCTTACTGGCTGGGAAACCCAGTGGCACTCATTCCTACAGTTAACGTGAACTACAGCTAAGATCGGGGTATTTCCTGTGAGTTGTACCTGCTGGCTTGTTGAAGATTGTTTGCTTCCCGGATTTTCCCTTAAATTATTATTATTATTACTGTTACTATTACTATTACTATTACTATTACTATT